ATTTTTGCTTACAAAGTTATATATTATGTTTTGTAAATGCTATATCATTATAAAAGCAACTACATGAATACCAAAGTAGTCATACGCTCGTATGCATTGAATTTTTATTAGGTTATACTTCAATTGCTTTGCGTACTTAACGATATGGTACCTAATGAGAATAATAATTTGATATTCCATAAAACAGTCATGGTTGCTCTAGATATTGATGTTTTATTATTTATTCATTCGCCAATATGTAATGTGTTTACGTACTCATTATTGATATACTATGTTAGTTTACGAAGCAAAATCTTTTCGATTTAAAACTCATCACCTAAATATAATAACTATACAATCTTAATTTAAAAAAAGTGATTGGTTTTTATCAATAAGACGTTTATAGTTTAGAATACCGTCTATGGCGTTTTCTATAGACAACTAATATAATTTTCCTTTTGAGTTTTCATCGCATTAATACTTGTATATTATGCATGATTTGCTTTCGTGCACTCACTATACGCTAAACTTATTAAAGCAATACTCTCTTATATTTTATATAGACTACCTTTTTTTTTTTTTTTTTTGAAAAGTTTCTTTCATCGACGTGGTACACAATTATGGAACAAAAACGTGGTTTAATATTCAAATTATAATTTGATAATAATATTTTTTACACACACAATAGTACACATTATATTACTCTCATTATTATTACTATTACTGAATTATAACGAACATTTTACCTATTTGTGTCTAAGATAGTGCTCTATAGATACATATTGTATACCTTATTTGGGTTGCCATCTATACCGATGTGTTTGGCCTCGTCCTTAAACTTAAACATAATATTATTATGTTTTAAAGATTAACCTGATATATGTATATAGTCAACGCGTGTCATCTAGATAACAATAATAGCGACTAATTTGTGCACGCCATGTTCGACACACTTGTTGACCCTTCAGACGGTGTCACAGATTTATCAAAATATCCTTTCAGCTCGTGTCGGTAATTGCATAAAATTTAAAGCAAAGAAAATTAAAAGTGGATACTTAATTCGTTCACATGAATATCAACATGTACAATACTTTCGTTAGAGACATTGTGTATGAATAAAAATAATGGAAAAAAAAAACGACAACAAATATAATACACATACTCTAATTTGCATGACCTTAATTTATCACTCACAACAAGAATCCCATGTTTTGTGGAACGATATTGTTTGTTTTCGAGCTAAATTTAATTATAAAGAAATATCGCTACAGGGAACCATATTTAGTTAATTAGATACCGTCCCATGCATTGTTACTGATGCCCACATGCTCTGGCCGAGTACAATGAACAATATTTTCTGGTACGTGTAATTGAATATAATTTACTTGTGGAGTCTCAAACTGGGTATGCGGATGTCCTGTGGTAAATTAGGCCGTCAATTAGTTTAATAAATAAAAAATATATTTAAAACACTTTCAAAAATAAAATGAAAATTATTGTTTTACTCGAAACAAAACGTGTATTATTATTATTATTATTATTATTAGAGCCATAGTTTAACGTCATAGTAGTAGTAAATATAATGCAAACATGTTATTCGCCCCTAAAAATAAAAAATACCACTAACATCATGATACTACTGTATCGTTTAAGAACGATTAATAATCGTTAAACACATTATTTTACTATAAATGTTACAGCTAGATGAAAAATATTGATAAGAGTTAAAAAAGCGTTTTCCAAAAGTTATGCAACAAAAAGTCGATTTCAAAAATAAAAACGACCCACTTTATTTATAGCAGATAAAGTAATTATTTTGTCTGAATGATTTCACTAACAATAAACACAATAGTATGAACATCTGTATGATACCTTAATAATAAGAGACGTTTCTTCGGTTATGGTATTTCGCTTTTTTATTTTGGTCACACATGTGCCAAGTAAATTCTGTCTTGGATAGCAGACGATTTTAAACGTTTCAATTTTGATGGCAGTGCTATTTAGCCTAGCATAAACTAGAAAAATATATTGGAGTATTGATGGTCGCTGTTAGACACGAGATATGAATAAGAAAAAAAAAAGACTACAAAATATAAATAATAAGTAAAATACTTATGGTCGTAAAATCTTAGGTAGTTAAAATAATTAAATTAGTCGTTATTCATTAAAACTTGCTTTCAGTCTAGATGGGCGTTACCTAAAAATTCACGAGAAGCACCGAAAACCGATGAAAATACAATAAGGGCATATCCGCATAATATATTACATAATAATATAATATAATTTTTAGGTGTATAATTTTTATTTATATAATATACATAGAATCTTATAATATATTACACGAGTATATAAAGTAGAATAAATAACTGTCTAGTCATGCGATTAGAATTCCTAGGTTAATATAAAAGCCATTGAAATATCTAAACAAGTGATAATAAATATAATTTATAAAAAAAATATTATGTGATAATTTACATAAATTCTATGTAATACTACATAGAAAACAAAAAAAAAGTAAGAAATAAGCATTCAAATAAAGTTTGTAATAATAACAAAAATGTCGGAAATTTTCCTACACGTTTTCTGAGTTAACTGGAAATAACTCCATTTTTCTGCATAAATCTCTGGAAAACTTGTAAAAATATACATTTTTAAAAAGAACCAATGGCTAGGATCAAATTTCTTTTTTTTTAATTAACAAGCAATAGTTACCAACGAACTAATTTTATTTGATTTTAAACTGCGACGTCGATGATGACCCAATGAGATCCGCTATTGGCACATTTCTGATTTATCTAGGAATTTGGGAATGTTTCTATACCTATAAGTATACTAAACAGCTTTAAAAAATTAAAATGTCCTTATTGAATTAGGCCATTCTTGTCCTCGTCTTTTAGGCCTGCGTAGCTAATATAACAAGGAAATGTTGCATTTGAGCTCTTTAGTTTATAAAATCTATACAAGTTGTTCAATCTATCTATGTTGCTTTACACAACCGATTCCGTCTGTCCGAATGTGTTCTTATAATTTGGTTGTAGGTTGTATTAAAAGGAATTACAGATTATAATATTATACTGGCTGAAGTTTCTACAAATACAATTACTATTATGTTACAATTTATATTTGAATGTATCAAATCGGTATGTAAGAACGAAAATCGCTCAGGGCCGATCTGCAATACAAGTCTTGAAAATTATTGTTAACGCAAGTTAATTTCGAATTTTTTTAGTGGTAGTGATTATATCACTTTCAAATTTATTTTCAAACCAGAGGCGGCTTGTTGTAAATTGTTATTATTTTTTATACTGAAACGAGTTAACGGGAAACAAAACATCGCTTCTCGAAGATCTTATATTAGAGTAAGTAACCAATAATAAAAAAAAAAAATGTAGAAAACGAGTGACTGTTAAGACGTTTTTGCTATTAAACGTCGGTTAATTTTACCGTTTAAAAACTTCTATTCGGCCTACTGCCGACGGGATTATTGTTATTAGTTATTACCTACTTTTTATTTTTTTTATTTTGAGAAAATTGACGAGAATTTCGAGGATTGTTTGCCTACTTTTTGGAATAGAATAATTGTAGTTAGTACCACTAACCCGAAACAACCGTCGAGTGGCCAAGAAAAATACTCATAACGCACAAATAGTTGAGACATTTACTCAGATCATACTTATATCTAGAGACTAAACTTCTCATTTACAAAGAACTAATTCGGCCAGTATTGACATATGGCATACAACTCTGAGGATCTGCAAAATTGTCTAACATTAACATTCTCCAATCATTCCAATCAATAAATCTGTGCTTAATAATTGGAGCGCCTTGGTATGTCAGTAATTTTTCTCTCCATAAAAACCTAAAAATACAAACAATTACAAAAATAGCAACAAAACAAAACTTTTTATAACAAAACAAATAATCACTTAAACCCTTTAATTTCAAATCTACATAGTCTCTCACCAACCCCATAAACCCAAACCGCCGACTCAAAAGAAGATAGCCAAGAGATCTTCATTACACAAAGCTCCTAAACAAAGAAGTTCAATTGAAATGGTCCCGTTGGACTCTTTTCTATCATGTTTTCATTTTAAGTAAAAATGTAAGGTATCCAATTGGCTTATTGTATTTTTTGTATACAGATTGGAAATACAGTTTAGAAGAAATAAAAAAAAAACATAACGCAAAAATACCCAGTTGAGCTTATTTTGTCGAAACCCGGCAAACGTTTGGTACTTACCCGAAAATATTGTTTTAATTGTGTTAAAAACCAATAAACTGGGTAGGTTATAATTTTAAAATACGGGTTTTCGTCAACACTGATTTCAAACGGATAGAGAAATAATTATCACAATAAATCGGACATCGTCGATTGGAAGAACGCAATGATTTTGCTCGAGCTGTGACAATACGGAAAAATGTGCCGTCCGTAGTACGTATACACAATACTATTATAATAGTAGGCTGTAGGTATATTGACGAAAAGAGAGAAATATAGGAATTCTTATTCATATCAGAATAATAATAATAATAATAATAGTACTGAGTTGTGTGTGTGTATGTATGCGCGCGCTTGCGGTGGAAATTCGTTCACACGGTGCACTTTCGCGGGTAAGTGCGTAAACGGCCGCCGGCGGTGGAGGGCCCCTATCGCCGGCGAGCTGCGGCGGAGGTGCTCCTTTTCTTCACCTCCCGGTCGTCCATCAGTCAAGCTCCACTTATCGTCTTATGACAATAGACGGGCGGCGTCGGCATACCACCAAAAATTGTTATCGGGCTTATTGTTGTTTTCTTCTATATAGTGCTACGTATATGTTATATTAAATCGTATAGGTGGGACGTCCTAAACTCAACGCGGGGCGACGGGTGCAGTGTGTGCGTGCGTTGACGGGGGATTGCCGTGGGTGCGCGCGCTCTCCTCTACTATGGGGATGCATTAGCCTCGGGGCGGGCAAAGAGGGGAGGCGGCGCCGTATAAAAATGTCCAAAGACTCGGCCACACTTAACATATTTTGCGGAAAACCCGTGCGTACCCGTCGTCCGTCGCCGTCGCCGTCACCGTGTCCGCCTGTGAACTGTCGCGAGTGTTCAGCCCAAAGACCGGTGTTGTTTTTCTTTTATCATTAGTGCCATACATACAATAGTACTTAGTAGTAAACCTTAGCGCCGACTTTGCACCACTGTCCAATAAATCATGTTCAGGTTTATCGTTGTCTGCGCTTCCGTCTGCCTGATCGCCTCGTCCGCCGCCGCCCAACAAGGCCGCAAGATGGACTCCGGGTTCGGCGACATGCGAGTCTTGTTCAAAGTGTTCCAGGAGTGTTCCAAGTCACAGGTAAGTCATTCCGGCCTGTCGCGGCAAAAACCCGACACCACCCGCGTTAATAATATTATGCTGGACCTGGTCGTTGTTTTGCAGTTCGTACCGTGTCTCAAGCACAAGCTGTTGACGGCCATCGACAGGGTGGGCGAACAGCAGCAAATGGAGATCTTCGACGGCGTCATGTTGGTCAAAGACCCGAACGCGGTGATCGTCCCGGCGGCCGAAGACGGCGCCAGGTCTGCGGACGATTCCAAGTTGGACGCCGCCATCGTCGAAAAGGTGGTCAACTTCTTCAAGACCCGCAACGTGCAGTTCAAGCTGCTCGACGAACAACCCAGATTAATGGGCGACGGTTAGTACCTACACCCCAATTGTTTTTTCCGTGTACTTCAGATATTGCTCAGTGTTGAACGGTATTAAAAAAAAAACAAGTGTATTTTTATATTTTACTTACTTCAAATAATTTTGAAATTAATTTGAAGTATTCGAAGTACACAGAATACCGTTTTCTATCAATTGGATAGTTTTTCAAATTTTTTGTGACAAAGAAAATTGTCCACTCTTAAACATGTTCTAAAACTGTTCGTCAATTCTAATAAAAATAGGTTTTTTAAAATTACTTACAATTGTAAAGTATGGGTCATGCTAAAATGTTGACGCTATCATCGTTGGCCGTACTTAAAAGTGAATAGTTTTTTCGATATTTATACTTATAAAATAAAGATAAAAATAACATTTTTAAATGTACCGGTAGAATAAATGTTGAACAATGAAAATACATTCGAAATAGGTATGAGTAAAATATTATATTGTCTTAATTCTATATAATAATCCAAACCTAACTCGTAATAAGGCAATTTTGTTAAAAAATAATATTTAAAATATCAAAAGTTAATGAATACATCGGGTTGACTAATCTGAGGTGGATTGCATACACTACTAATAGACCACTGCAAATAATTTTTGTATTCAAAATAGTTATATCAAACTACACAATAATAAAAAAATGATCAAACAATTCTTTTTATTTCGCCTAAAATACTCATCATATAAGGTCAAACTTAATTTACTCAGAATAGCAATGTAATTTTAGCAAGTTCCACTTTTTTTCCATAAGCGACATTTTAATATCTTATAAGCACAAAGTGTTTAAACTTTAAACAATTTAGTTGATAATTATAACATAAATTATAGCTGTTATAATTATTTATCAGATGTCCTACTACATTAAAATACAATCAAAAGCTAATTTTTACAATTTTTTATTTCATAACTGAAATGCAAACATTTAATATTAAATATTATTTACTTATAATTAAAGTTTTCAATGTTATGGATAAACTTTAATATGAACATAACTAAAATATAAAATTATATATAGTATTCCAAGTGTATATAAAACTATAACATTACAGTAAAACCCGTTTTCCTAAAATAAATAATAAGTAGTTTTTATTATAAATAGTTCTTCTTTAGGGAATAGAGTTGTATGCATATTAAGAATATTTGGAACTGAACTTCAATAGAAGTGTAAGTATAATAAGGGTTTCGGTATGCTTCAGCATAGGTTTTTGACTTTTGTACGTTAAAGTGATTGCAAATTTCAATTACATCAATAAAAAAAGACAAGGAAGTCAAAATATTTATTATGATGTATCTTTTTACAACTATTTTTTTTTTTGCTTTTAACATTTAAACCTGGCATGTTTTGGTAATTATTTAGTTAGTGTGACATTAATAATGCTTTATAAGATATTAAAAAGTCTACTAAGTTCATAAATTATAAGAAAAGAAGCATATATATTTTTTAAACAACTAGATTCAACTTTGAAAATGTCGAACATAATAAAAACAGACATTTGTATCACCTTGTTTTTTATTGTTAAATTTTACAGTAGGTAAGACTTTTTGAAGAAAAAAAACAACTAATATTCTTATATTCTAAAATTTATAAACTTGGTTCTGTGAATATTTGGATAAAGAAGTAAAGAAGGAGTTTTTTTTGAAGATAACTAAGTACAAAAAAAAAATTAAAGTAAAAATCCGAAATGCTCAAGTAAAAATGGTGTACGGTTTGACATGGAATACTATTCAACTAATAATATTTGATATGTTTCAATTACTTATACTATTGTTCGTTAGTTATTTAAAAATAAACGAATAAACTTGGTAGCTATTATATTGAACATAAACATTTGAATAAATCTAAATAGTTTTTAATTTTTTTTATACTCTAAAAAGGTTTGGACATATGACAAAAATAAATACAATGTTATTTTATTAAACTATTAATTTTTTTATGAATATACTTGTGAACTGGAGTTACTTGAAAGATTATATACATTGGTAATCAATTAAACAATAATATTATTATGTTCGACTATTTTCGAAACGATTGCAATTTTTGTATTTTTACAAATTATTTTTTAGTAAATCATATATTTATTAAAAACGAAGGTATTTAAAACGAATGTTGTTTAAGGCTAATTAGGCTGGGAGGAAATATTAAAATACTTTTCATTATTAAAATAATAATAATTATTCAAAAAACTAGAAGGAAACACATTATTATGCATGTGAATATTAAACGATTCTGTTGGGTGTTTTTTAATAGGTGAGAAAATTAGAGGTAAGTCCTTCATAATAATAATAATAATAAATTATTCGAATTCTGAATAAGTAGGTTTTTACAAAAACAAAACTTACGCTCCGGTAAAAATTTCAAAACAATCCGGGCCTCATACACGAGGCTTCCCACGATTATGGCTATTACTATATTATGATTTTCGGACGGTGCTTTTAATGATGAAAATGACTAGGGGAAAACGGTTTTGTCGGTTGCCAATATCATAAGCGACATCATTTTTTTTTTTTTTTACTATTATCTTTACGCGTGTGTCGTACCTACGTTATTTGTATGATTGCTTTAAAAAAAAAAAAAATGGAAAAAAATCACGTGTGTAATATTATATTTTGATAGTGTCATTTTTTCAATACATATATATATATATATTTCTTTTGGGGCGCTCGACGACGTCTGCCGGAGACGTCGACGAATGGGCCACACCATACACCATCGTCGTATGTACTTGATATTATATTATTATAACAATAGTGTTGTGCTAGTCAGCGTTAACACGACACCGAGCGCGCGTTATCGGTATAATAATGAAGAAAATGCGTTTTGTCATTTCTGCCCCGGCGAAAAATATATAGTTTTTACTCTCATTGTCGTCTCGCTGGACGCAACGGATTTTCGTTTGCTTTGTCATTGTTGCGGACCACATTATTATTATTATATTTTATGTGTGTGAGTGAGTGAGTGAGTGTCTTCGGGAAAACGATTAGATACCACCAGACGGCGAAAAACACATTAGGTACGTGCTGGGTGCGACACCTTCTAAAGGTATCGGGGTCACGTCTGTCTATATCGGGATCAGGATCAATAGACCCGTCCCCTTCGACGGTGTGCTTATTAATGCTGTTATTATTATTGTTATTTTTTTTTTCCTCGATATTATTAAATCAATAGATAATCGACGGCCGACAATATAATATTTCATATTAAGTACGTCCTCCGTTGTTCGACCTTAAAATAACAATAATTATTTTTATTTTATTATTGTTGTCTGATCCTGCGTGGAAACTTTTTCTCCTATCCACCGTCGTTTATACAACGTGGCACGCGCTCTATTGTCGTCCAAACCGAGCCGTTATGACAACATAACTATTATTGTTGAGATTACCCGTTATATTAAGTGTTGTTACTTCTTACTTATTTTCATCGTTGGCGCCACTTATCTCGCGGAATCCGTCGTCACCTCGCCCATCACTCGTGCCATATTGTTTTGCAAAAACCGTATGCCTTAACCATTTCGGCCAATCATCAATTAGTGCAATAATACACACGGGTGGCCAAATTATGGTCATTTGATACGATAATAATATTATAATTATCAATAGCATACTATTGGCTCGATCGTCTTAATAGATTACCGTTTTATATACTCTTATTTTCTTATTATATTATACGCATTGCAAATGTGTAAAGGAAGTTAAAAAAAAAACCCAAAACGACAGTGTGTCTTAACGGAACGTTCATATATTATGAAGGCGACCTCTTGAAATGATCACAAATGCAACGTTTAAAGCAACGTTTACACGGTTCAATATTGTCGATAATTTCGATTGAATCGTATAAACCTAACTCAAGACGTTGACCGTGGTATCTGTAATAGTATATTACTCTTATGATACTGTTTCGATGTGATCTTCAGACGTCAAACGTAATATTGAATATTAGTAAAAAAATTAAAAAATATAATGTATACAGTTTTTTAAATTTTTTTACTTAATAAAAACCTTAAGATTTCAGCATTAACTTTGCAAGACCTCGAATATAAAAAAAGAACACTAAAGAAGTAATTTCAAGGAAATATTTCCCACATTTTTCGTATCGTTCGGTATAGGGCTATCATAACAAAAATACTTATTAGTTAGTTATAACTTATTTGGAATATTATTCAAGCCGGGTTGCACATAAAATGTATACATTTTAGTCGCGGGTATTACTATATAATCGGTTTACATGTTATCTTAGTTATCTGGATAGGTATATAAACATAATCATTGTAAAATGTTCAATCTAAATTAGTTTTAAACGTCAACATCGAGTAGGTGCCATAACACGAAGTTGACCAGATATGAATAATGTATTTTTGTGTGTATGAGTATATCCTATATAATACGACACTGTGCTCGGCGTGAGTGTCGTCTCTGGTTCGGGAAACGAGCCTTTGATGTATTACAATCTATTAAACCCTGTAATATTATGTATTTTAATAATATTTCACCGTGTTTGTCTCGTTCAGGACGCAAGAAGAACAACAAATACAACTCGCTGCTGATGATGCCGTTCATGATGGGCGGTATGACCATACCGTTGGCTTTCGGCACACTGGCCCTGTTGGCCGGCAAAGCGTTGATCATCGCCAAGCTGGCGCTCGTCCTGTCGGCCATTATCGGATTGAAAAAGCTGTTCGGCGACCACGGCAGCAGCCACGAGTACGTGTCCCACGGCGGCAGCCACTACCGCAGGAGTCTGCCGGGCGAAGCGCTTGCCGCGTCCAACATGGCCTACAGCTCGTACATGCCCGTGGCCTACGACCAAGAGTCGGTCCGCAGCACGACCGAAAATCCAGTTCCGCTGTAGGAGCATCCGGAGCGGCAGCCTTTGACGACTACACTGCGATCCGGTCAAGCGACATTTAATTTTAAATAACTGTATTGTAATAATATTTATAATTATTGACCTCGAGGCCTTTGTCAAAAGCCCGCGAAAGTCGACCGACGGGTCACGTTAATTTATTGTAAAAAAACCAAAAAAAAAAATTTAAAAAACCGACTTTTTTTTTTATTTACTCTGCAAAATGTAAACGCCACGTTGCAAAAATTGTACACGATTATTATGCACGCCAACGTTCTTGTGCGTTTTAAAAAGGTGACCAATAAACGTAGGAAAGTATTTTTAAAAAAAATTGTATCCTCGGATGTCACAAAACGATTGTTTTGTTTGGTCTAGCTGTATTTATGTGTGCGTGTGATGGGAAATACGGGCGTGCGGTGGTCACGGTCGTCGATCCGCGTACACGGTATGTCAAAAACGGAATGAAATCAAATATAATACCATTCTATTATTATTATTATCCTGACGGTAATCCATTTGCTGGAAACCCGACAGGCGATACGAAACGTCCATAAAGTTATGAGACTTATTCGACAATTATTTATTAAAAAAATATAAAACTCCAAAGAGTAGGTCACATGAAAAGAAATCAATATGGGGCATTCTGAGTAAAACCACGCGGTCATCGGCCCGACCTCCTCAACATTTTTCGAAATTTTTTTTATAAACTTCTATTGGTCAATTATAAGACCTTAATTTTTTTGAAATTTTTATCACTCATATTTACCCCAAAAATAGAGATTTTTATATTATTTTTCACGAAAAATCGGTCTAATAACGGTCCGAGATTTATACCTATTTTTTTTTTTTAAGTAATGAGTAATGACATTTTTTTTTCAAAATCTGAAAAAATTTATAATTTTATTTTTAATTTTGTTTGAAAGGCACATTTTTCATTTTTTACTCCCAAAATATGCAAAAAATCAAACCTATACTATATTTAAAAATAAAAAAACCGAAATTACACATTTTTTTCAGGTTTAAAAAAAAATAGAAATAAATTTCGGCCTATTCCCGTTATTAGACCAAAACATTTGGTTTTATGACATAAATTTCAGAAGTTTTAAACTGGTCAAGTCTATTTTTCGTGAAAAATAATATAAAAACCTCTATTTTTGGGGTAAATATGAGTGATAAAAATTTCAAAAAAATTAAGGTCTTATATAAGATCAATAGTAGTTCATAAAAAAAATTGTCGAACAATTTGGAGGTCGGGCCGATGACCGCGTGGTTTGACTCAGAATGCCTCATGTATACCCGTAGTAAGTCTGATTTGTATGATTATCATAAAATACATCTGTAGTCAACGTGCAACGTGTACAATAAACACGACACAGGAGCTGTTATAGAGGACAGTGTGCATTCCTTAAGTGTGAACATATCTTAATTCCCTAAAGCTATGATTTATTAACATTTTTGTAAATAATGGATTAAAAAAAAATAATAACAAGACATATGTAAAAGCAACGCAATCACATTTAACAGTTAAAATTACCTTGTAATAATTATTGTGCTTAGGCCAAGACGATATTATAACGGTATGGGTTGTGTATTCATATCGCTCATAGGTACAACACATAGTTGTAGGTATGCATAGCAATAGCATTCCAGAGTGGAGAGGAATCGCTGCAGCATCAGCCATCACGACAGATTTTTACATATAAAATTAATGACATGTTATACGAATACATTATTTCTTATAGTATGAAAATTATAGACTAAATTATAGGTTGGGTTAGGTTCAAAATGTTTTTCTAACGACGTACCATAAAGTTATATGGGACATCCTATTTCTCGTTGAATTTCCATAGCTTTAAACACAAAACCAATGATTATGGCAAGTTCAGATTTATTTGTACTTTATGGTATAAAGAAAAGTAATACTTGTAAGTTAAATCAACACAAATAATTGAAGTGATTATAATTTAAGTACGATTTTTACAGTAATTTATGAAAAGAATCGATTAACAGATGACATAGTTGCAGTTAACCGGAAAAACAGCAAAAATTGCTACAAGAATTGATTATACTAAATTGTATAGCGACATAAATTTTGCAAAAAAAAAAACATTTTACAGTAAATAATATAGAATTCTCATTTACACGTTCTGCAATTAATTAAATCTCATTATTATCTATTTTTTCGTATAAATAGAAGAAAATACACTAATTAAAACATAGCATAAAATCGCCTTACTTTAAAAGTGGCATTAATGATAATTGATAATATGTTTTAATTTTTTTTTTGTGCCTGGACCTACGATATATTCTACTATATTATATTTTTATTTGTTGAAATAAAACCTGATTTCTTGTTTTTTGTTTTTATAACTGTTGACTTGTATACGAAATAATATGTAATTACTACTAATTTCCTATTGACGAAGTAATTAAAGTGACTTTTTACCCTTCTCCCATTCCCTTCTCTAAATAATATATTTGTCCAAAACGACCCTTTGCTTACCAAAATTCAAAATAGGACATTTTTAACTTTTTTTGAAAAATTATACTGCATCCAAGTTTTGCCAACAAATATTATTTCGGATTGTTTCTTTGGTTTAATTCGTGTGTACGTTTCAAAAATATAAAAAGAAAACTTTTTTAAAGTTTATAAAAAAAAAATAGAGGTTAGTTAATATTTGTAAAAAACGAGTGACAAATCATAATCAAGTAGTGTAATTGTTTATATGTTTTTAAATGTTTGAACTTTTGTGATAGTTCCGCACCATATAAGATAGTTAATCGCTCAAATTGGCCACTTGAGGCATACACTATGTAAAGTGAAAACGTGATTATTAACCAAAATTATTTCAACTATTTAAATATGTTTAATAAACGGTATTTTTATGGTTTTTTTTATTTTTAATGAACGATTTATTGAATTTAATTAAGTAATTTATTGAACTTAAGTCCTTACATAAAGTAGGTAATTAAAAATATCATAAAATAATCAATTTAGAAAAATGTGGTTTTCTTTAAATTGTAAGCTAACGTTACGGCATTTTTTCTGTTCTCAAATCAAAATAACGCACTACTATGCTGGTTTGGAAGTGGCCACTAGTTAGTAAGGAAAATACGTCAATGTCAGTCCGTGTGTAATGTTATGTAAAAACACATAACCAAATTTTTTTTAAATATTTGTATATTATAATAAAATAATATTATAATTTTAAATAATTATTTATTTATTTTATAACATACTTTGTTGTTCTCTACGTTTCTTAAAAGCGATAAAATAACTTTCAAAAATACAATTTTTTAACAAATTTACCGTTATCAAACTAGATGTCGGTTCCTCTTAACGGTTTTATTTTTAAATGTGATCCAAGTATCGTTAGTTATTGATTCAAGAGTTTTTTTTTTTATAACATCTATATGTACCTTTTTTGATACTTTAAGTGCAAGTAAGGAATGTAGTATGTATCGTCAAGTTCAAAATATGGAATCACTAATATAGGGCGATGGTCAGATTTATAATATAATTAACGCATAATTGATATGGCCTTGTAAAATGGTATTAAATGTATTATCTGTGTTGATGTTGATTAGAAAACACAACACCGATATGAACTTAAAAGTTCAACAAGCTATCTAGTTATAACGGTGAATACGTTAGCCAATAGCAAATATAGCGCCTTAACAACGTGTCAAATACTTCACAACATACGCATAAAGTGTATGCGTTGTACATGATAACGTTTTTTTTATAGTTTTAAAAATCACGTTCTAAAATTTCTGTTTTAAGGGGCGTAAATTAGGTGACCAAATCAACAAACATTGTACTACTCGTTCCACATTAATGTTATTTATTAGTTAAGCAATTCTCCAACTAATCGGTTCAGTAGTATAACATCATCATAATCGGCTTACATTATGTTTAAATTATTGTATATTATTATTACTTGACACGCATAGAATATCGATAGGTTTTTTGATTTTTATATGAGTTTTTTCGAAATTGCCTACTCAAAACTCCTAAAACACTCATCTACGAGCTTCTACGGTCCGACATAACATGTTCCGATTTGCATATTAATAACATAATTAGATCAAACCAACGATTACAGGTTTTTTAATTATGTTTGTGTGTTCATTAAAATATATCTGTTTTAATTTACATTGAATAACTAGATGAGAATTATTTTTTAGCAGGATACACGGAACTGTTACTTTAAGAGAACGCCACGCACTTTCAAGTTTGAATCAGCCTTTGGGAAATCATTCAAAATCAGTTTTAAGTATATTTATAAAATTGTATAGCGTGAAAAGAATTACAATTTTAAATAAAAACATTTAGCATATTATATATTTCATTCCTCTACTAAATGCCAAATTATGCAATGAAAACAATTGAATTATTGCTGATAACTAATTTTGAAAAAAAAAACACTTTTTGAGTTATTCGCACTCATAGGCATAGTTCTTCAAATTTATCCTTATAAATAGTTTGCAATGCTAATTTTAGCCATTTAAGTTAGACATGAAACTAAGGTCTAGGTTCTTTATCCAGCTAAAAAAATCATCTCAACTTTGACAGAAGTGTTAGAATTAATTTAAACTATAAACATCAAATCAAATAGCTGTCATTTGATTTATGTGTTTATCATGTCTTAAAATAATAATCATCAACGACTGGTCTAAGTAGATATTTATTAAGTATTCTAGTCGTTGTGGTCATAAATTGAGATGGATGGTGGGGTCAAACACGGTGTTGATGAATACTAATGTTTTCTATTAGATTTATTAATTCTTTATAACAAGGTTAATTATTTTTTCTCTCGAGATACCTGTTTGGGCTTGAGTCAATATTTAGACATGTGTCACTTTAACCCTTATGCTTATAACCCGGTACGTTCTCTTTGTATCACCGGTTCTTGTTTCTATAATGATTTCCCTTTAACAAGTATATACTCCAACTCGGATAGAAGTGTCGTTTCATTTGATTATAAATAGATAATTAAAACATAAAGGCAGTTTATCTAAGAAAACTCAACTATAATGTAATTGGTATTAAATTATTTATTTTTATTTTAATAATAATATTCATATTATTAATGAGGAAAGCGTTGTAACTCATTATGCTAATAAAAACTAAAAAAATTGTTACAATTTTTACTTAATAATATGTGTAGCGAACGATGCACATGGTTAATTTTAATCTAGAAAGCGAAAATTGTAACTGAATAATGTAATAGTCAG